TTGTTTTGTGGGGTTTTTTTTAAGATCTATAGGGGTAAAAAACCTTAGACTTTACAGACTTCCGTACTTCCCACCCTATACTTCTCCTGTGAATGGGCAGTATTTTTTCACACTTTTCCTGCTTTTGCATTTAGACATTAATGTTGTCATGAAACACAGCAAAACCCATCAATGGGTAAGAATCCATTACTAGTTGAGTTCTTTTGGGATTATTGTTATTATGCAGATGTTATGGAAACGCATATTAAACTGAAGGAATATACCATGGCCTGATACGAACTTCATGTAGTACAGCATTAGCAGGAGAGTCTCAAAATCTTAAAAAAAAAATCTGGAACCTGACACATTGCAATAATAAATCTAGCTATCTAGAAACTTGTATCTTTTTCTATACAATGTGCCATTTTTGGAATGGGAGTAGCACTGAGGTGTTTTGGCCTTCATCTTATGCTAGAATTGTACTATCATTCTTTTTTCTTTCTTCCTCTTTTTAAATAGAAGTTCTAATCCATGTGGCTTCAGTTAAATGTAAGACACAGTGTCAAGAAAATTAACTACAAGGCACAAAATAGGAAATTAGCATAAATATTTTCAAATGGATAAAGACTTAATCAAAAAAGGAAAAAGGCCCACCAAACCCCTGCAATAACCAGTTGTGCTGAAAGAGGAATTGTCATATAATTAGGTGATAATAAATGAAGTTGATCAAGAATGCTTTTGGAATCAATTGTATGCAACATTTTACTTCATGACCTTGGCACAAAAAGTAAGTATGCACTAATTGCATCTGCTGATAACCCAAAATTATGACACATTGTTGGTACTGGGGAATTGGTGTATTACAAGAAGCATTGTGTGACCCGGGCGTTGAAGTACAAAAAATCCAAAGGAACTGAATAGTACAAAGGTCATGCATTTGCTAGTGATAACAAGGATACGTGCAATACATGGGAAATGGATCCACTGCAAAAAAAAAGAGAGGACCACAACCTGAGTTACTACTGAAATGCAGAATGACTACATTTCACAAATAAGATATAGCTGAAATAAAGGCAAATGTGATTCAGACAACATTTCTAAGAAAGATGAGGACATACTAACGTCATAGTTCAAGGCACCAGGGTAAAATATTACTTATAAAATGCTAGTACCTGGAATAGATTTTATACACTTCCAGCTATGCATTCATTTTTGGACAAGGAGGCAAAACACTGTATGCTTCTGAAAGGTAATACATGCCCAAAACATATTAGCAGCATGACTATTTCAACAGAAAATGAGTTTTTAGACTCAAACACTAGCATGTAAATGCAAATATTTATTTTAAGTTTCAGTCTCCTCTGAAACCTACCTTTCAATTTACAAGACTGAGTGTATAAAACTGACCAGGGATCACTGAGTGCACCACTTAATTAAACATTTTGAGAGATAAATTAGATTTTCCATGAAAAAGAACTGCTAAGAATGTAGAAAACTGGTTCAGGTGTATTTGAAATACATTACTTCCATTTCTCGTAAGTGATTTTGTGCAACATTTAATAGGAATTTCAAACCTTGCAGGGATGGCACCCCTCCAAACAGAGATGAGAGCGATTTGCCCCACTCCACTATCTCCTCAAATCTGTTTATTTACCATTGGATCTAGTCTCAGTCAAGACTTAGTAATGGACAGAATTCACAGCTCACATTTGTCTATTCGTATAAATCAGGGTAGTCATTTTACGTTCTTCTGTAAAATGTAGGTTGAAAGTCTGCACTGAGGCTCAAACTTTGCCTGTTAACCCCCAAAGACCATTTCTTTCAAATGGGCATTTAATTTATTTTTAAATAGCACATCAGTTGCTAGGAAGTTTTATTTTGGCTATCTGGATGGAAATGGATGCTACCCAGACATGCCCAGAGACATTAGCCTTCTTAGCTTGAATAATCCTTTGGAAGAAGTGTGACTAGATATCAAGTGACTAGGTATTAAGATTGTGAACTGTGAGGTAGATCTGAATCCAAGTGGAACACAGTGGAGAAAAAACTGGTAGAAAAGGGCATAGCATCTCCAGATAAGGTCCAACTCCACCAAACTAATATGCAGGATAAGGGCCTGATCTTAAACACTGCTTATGTGCTGCTAGAAGCATGCAAGTGTCCTGTCAGCTTTTTAGCTTAATGAGAAAAGAGAGCGTGTTGTGTAGTAGAGCTAAAATAGACAGCTACGTGTGATTTTCTCTTGTTTCTGTACATCTACCTCTACAATGACAACTAGTAAATGTTCTGTTAACATTCTACTGCAGTAAAATATGTTTATTCTTCTAACTTTTCCTAGCTTTAGAGTAGTTGCTGAGTGGCTGACAAGTCCCTCCATTATAGGGGCTGGTGATTTGTAGTAAGTCTCCCTTACAGTACGTACCAGGCTCCAGAGCTGGAAAGGCCTTCCACTACACTGTACAAGCTCAGCTAAGAGCTAGCAACACAGCATCTCTGTTTGGGAAAAGAGATTTCCCAGTGAAAGCTATAAACCAGCGTATCCTTCACATGAAAGGAGGCAGCAAGGTCTATGGCTAAATCCCAAGAGGCTCCCATGAGGCTGCAACAATTGGCAATATTATTGCCCAGGGGACAACAGAAGCATGTATGTCAGGAATGCAGAAGGCAAAATACTATTATGTCAGAAATCCCTTGCTGAATTTGTATGCAGTGCAGGTTTAGGTAATTAGTGTTACACGGAAGAAAGTGAAAATAACAAAGTAAGGATGTAATCCATTCAGTCTTTACCAAGAATATATACAGCCCGGAAGGACCTGACTTAAACCCAATTATATAATATATCAAATCTAATAAAGGCACTTGACTGAAGATTTCCCACAGACAGTAGTTCTGAGATACTTATCCAGAGATACTTACTCCTTTCCAATTTTTTTTTTTTTTGCTCCTTCCAGTACCAGGAAAAAGGAGAAAGCTTGTTCTTGTTTTCACTTTATTCTGAAGAAGTGGCTTAATTGTTTAAGTTCTAAATCACCAAAAACAGAGTGCAGAATTGCTTAAGATAAGCTGGGAAGTCAATAGTGATCTCGGAGTATTCTACCAGACAAAGTAAACATTAAAAAAACACTAAAGAGTCTATTGATCTTAGATATTCCTCTTATATTTGCTCTACATTAAACTCTGTCTTAGTATTTTCCTCCTTTATAGTTTCTGCCTTAAATGGTAATTCAGAAAAGTGCAAGTTGAAAACAGCGTATGTGATAAACTTGGTATAACCCCACCCACTGGCTGATTCAGGAATACCAACTGCAGCAATACCAACTTAGTAAATCCTAGAGTAATTCTTTACCTTCTAATCTATGGATTAATCAAAAAGACCACTATCAGCAAAAACTGTTCAATCACTAAGAGATCACAAGAGAAATGTTAAACTAGTGTATTTCTTACTACAACCTTTAAAGACTGGGAGTTCGCAACAGAAGTGACTGAAGACTTGACCAAGATTTTATACATGCCATACAATATAAACAGATATTTAAGGCACAAATATTCTAATATAATAGTCTGTAATAAAACTATTTAAACACAGCCCGCTAGTGCTGAATTCAAGATTCACAATCAAGAGCCCTAGTGTCTCTGAAGTACTTGAGAAATCATTAAGTTACTGAGCTCTTTCTTTATGAAAATAGTTATATAAATTTATATGCACCAAGAAAAATAAAGTCACACATTAACATTTATTAGACTGTAAAGTTCTGTTACCAGAACACCATACTCAAACCAGTTACCAGCAGCAACAGTGCAGTATATCAATAACCAAATGTTTAGTATTTGGGAGTCTGTGAAAAATTGGGAAACTTCAGCTCTGATCAACTTTTTTACCTGGGAAGCACTTTTTGCATCATTAACATGGAAGGCTTGCAAATCAATGATTCAAATTCTTCTGCAAATTAAAGTGTGCAAGTATGAACAGGAGTGAATTAATTACATGTTAGAATTCATGGGGGAGATCCTAGTCAGTTAAAGGTATAAATTTGAGCTCAAATTTCATGTTGACAGTATCCAATCAAGCCAAATAATTTCAGATAGGCTTGGCAGGGATCTCAGAAGTTACTAAACTTGTAAGCATTTCCACTGGTACCTCTTGCATGACTTTGGCATACTTAAAAAAAAAAAAAGTCTTGTCCAGTTTTGGAGAAGACTTAAAACCTAACTGATCGAGTTTAGGTGCGGAAGTATGAAATCCAGCCTCCCAGACTGACTTTCACATCTCAGTCCTAAAAATTGAAGTCTATTAGAAGTTCAAAGCCTTTTTGTCATTCACTTAACCTGTTCCCAGCAGGAAGAATTCAACCCTTTTACTTTCCCTTAAAGTTAAACCTTGATTCTGACAATTAAACAAAGCATAATTAGCAGAACATACATTTTTATTTGACTCCCTCCAGCTGTAACAGTACATATGTGTAGACACATGCATACTGTCCACTTGTCTGGCAGAAGGATGTACCACTAAAGCAATGTAGGCAAGTTAAAGTGGTCTCCCTAACAGCAAAAAACTGGCTCAGTTTACATTATTTTTTTAACAGTGTATCATATAATTTTGAGTTCAAGATACAGTCAGAAAAAATAAAAGGCTTTAAAAGTCATCATTTATAAAGCCATATCAAGTACAGTTCAGTACAGACACACATTCTTATGACGTTAATGAAGTGACACATGTGAATAAATTGGTATTAACATGTTTTGGTACATTTTAAAAATGACAACACCCAAAAGCTTTAAGGCATCATTTCTTTTGACTTATCCCATAGTCATTAATTTGAAAACCAGAGCATGGATAATTAGATACTATGGCGACAGACCAAACTGAGATGTCTTATGTCTATGAACCTGTGTAGACAGACCTTTTCAATTGTTCCTTCATTTGCTACTAAAGCTAAACATTCCTTCTGCAAGGTAAGCCTGTTAGCATACATGGCAAAAAAAAAATTAAGAAGTTGAATATTATTAAATTAAATATCTACCTGAGAGCTTCATGAGGAGCTCAGATGCTGCCTTGACCGACATATCCTGCCTCATCACATTTGCCTGCGCTTCCTGTGGCTTGAGTTTCTCCTCAGGGATGTTTGGAGCTGAGGCTTCAGATTCCTGGCTGAACACATAGCTGGACTGAGACAAGGCTGAACTTGCAGCTTCTTCATCCTTAGGCTCCTCTTTCACTTTAAATTTAGGAGTCAAGGGCTCTTTTTGATTTGCAGCTATCAAGAGAAGGAAAGAAGTGAGACTTAGTGAGGTATGTAATATAGAATCACAGAGCAGCTAGTAACAGGAAGAAACCATAACCTGAGAAATGCTAGAGCAGGTACTGGCAGCAAGCATGTCAAACAGTATTCGAAGATGCTTCAAGAAATAAACAAACTTCTGTATCTTTTGTACAAAGGGACAGTTTTGAAACACAAAAACTGCATGTTCCAGAGCTCAAGAAACCATCCTTTTCCTCTTACTTTTTTGCCCCTACTCCTCCTAGAAGCATTCCCCTGGTCATTGGTTTGTAGGTCTTTTATAGGCTTGATGGAAGTTTAAAACATCATTTCACAAAAGGGCAAATTTGGCAAAGCCCGTGTGTACTACATATTGAGTTCTTAGAGCGTGGAAAAGAGGCAAGAGATGAGGAGTAGAAAGATAGGAAACCGAAGAGGGGAGTAAAAGGGAAAAGAGCAGCAAATTCTTAGGTCCTAAAAGTTGGTGTTTGTTAAGAAAAAGAACAGAGGGATTTTCAGAAGACAGCTCTGCACTGGAAGATGCTATTAGAGCACTGTTCCAGGTTCTACATCCATAAAAAAGAGCTGTTAGTTTTACAAACCCATTGCATGAACAGGAAAAGCGAGGAACTGGCATGGGGATGGTAATATCCAACTGAAGGAGCAGGGTACTAACAGGTCAAATCAACCCAACAAAATCTGGCAACATTCACCTGCTTAAGTCCTTGGTCTACTTCCTCCTCCATTTCACTGCTTCTTACCTACTCTCCAGCTCCTCACTTTCCTGGCTTATTTCCTCAGATACTCTCCTTCTCAGCAGTTCCCCCAAAATCTGACCCCTAGAGAATCTGAATTCCTGCATCCCACTGTGAAGTGCTCACCATCTCCCAGAAACTTCAACCCTAAAATATGGGGTACAATTGCCATCTTTATCGCAAATAGATACTTCTGTTTGCTACTTTGAGCTTTGTTCATTTTCACACGGTCCATTGCTTTGTGGTTTTCTTTGTGTTTGTTTTTTTATTTATTTATTTTTTAAAGCTACTACATTACCCCGTAACACAACACTTACATCTTTTCAGTTTATATTCCAGGGTTGTTTGATTTTTCTCCTTTCTTATTGGTTGGCAAGCCATTACCAAAGAACAAAATTAAAGCAAGTGGTATTAAACAGGGTACACATAAGCAGCATGTACATACACATTGGTGCTATTCACTATTTCAGAAATTAAATTACCTTATATGTGTAATTTTTAATATGACCTATAAGCACTTTTACCAGTATTAGGAATTGCTTTTTCCTTTTTAAAAAAAAGAGCAAAAGCAGAAATATGAAACATTAAAGCATGCTTTAATTCATCAAAATACAGGTTAAGGCTCTCAAACCAATCTTAACTTTACAAAGGAACTTACAAAAAAAAAATCCATCTATCTTCTTTATCTAGGCCTACATCTTTCTGGCTCAGTCTATTCTGGGGTTTGATCTGGGGTGATGAATGGTCACCAAAAAAAAAAAAAAAGACCCAAACCTTCTATACCACACTACCTTCTGCATTCTTTCTCTTTTAAAACATGACATTCTAGTTGCTACTGATATGAAAAGTACCTCCACCAGGAGCTGAGTGCAACTGATAGAAAGCATTCTGCCTGAACTTTCAGAGAACCTGGAGATAAAAAATCTTTTGAATTTATTCATTTCAAGAAGGTATTAATTCAAATTGTCCCAGAAAATAAAGGAAACATGAGTCTGAGTGAAGAGGTAAAGATGACCCACTGAGAACAATCATTAACCTGTGAAGCCAGCTATCTTTCTGCCCATGAACCAGGGCAGAAAATGAACCAGGTAGAGGAAGCACTATAGACCCAGTCAGCATAAACTTTTACCATTTAAAATACAGAGGTGATATTAAACTCACATACATCGATCAGTGTAAGTTTGCAACCATACACCGTGGTCCATTATAAGCCAGGTTAAGAACAGTGTAAAAACATCCATACACAAATTGAATCATTGTAGCAGAATTCATATAATATCACAGCCTTAAACCACAAACTTTTTTCAGACTCAGGTGCTATAGTATGGCAGGTGCCTTATGGATTCCCCTACCACAAGAAGGAGGATCAAAGGGGGTGGTTTTGGAAGAAATTAGCACTTACTAAACCTTCTTATTACCAAGCCAAAACTTAGCAGCCAATTTGACCCAATCCAAGGCCAAGTGTCAAGTCGTACCTCTATGCTCTTCATCCCAGGGTATTCTCAAACTCTACTGAGATGAAGACAAGTTCTAATAGCTCAGAGAACCAAAAATTCAAGGTAGGTCACGTCAGAGTTTAAATAGTTTCATGACAGTGACACACCCAGAATGACTTGAACAGGGCATCCATCAAGCTTCCCTCTTTTCCTATGTCTCATTTTCCCTTTCTCTCCCTACCCCATACATTAGCTCTCCTACTGTGACAGTACATGCTGCTATAAGCCACTGCTCCCTCACACTCCTGAGCTGCCATCTGGGATAATAATGCTGAAACTATGTTGACCACAAATCTACCAGCACATCATCAGCCATAATCTAAACGAGCTCTTCATGAGATCTGTATGCTCAGTTTGCCCCTGTGTGTCTACAAGACATCACTTATGAAAAATATAAAACTTGGTCAGGTTCCCACAATCCAGAGGAAGTCCTGAAGATGTGCATTTGGCAGTATTATGTGAAGGGGAAAAGAAACCCAGACTATTGTTCTTACCTATGTTGCTGATTCTGCCTACTCTAGCTGCTTTGCTTTGGACAGAAGAGAGAATTAATAAATTAGGAAAGAAATAGCGGTTTATTTCTTTAATTAACTGACAGCACATTCCTTGAACTGACCACACTTTCCAAAAATCAAACATTTTAATTGTAGACAAATCACAAAAATAGAAGAGTTATTTATCTCATTTTTCTTCCCCCATAAAACAAAACCAAATAAAATCAGACAACTATTGGGTCGGTTTCAACACAATTGCTTCAATTAACAGGGCTTTTGCTTTTTCTTGAAATATACTAAAGCAGATTCCAACGTAAATGAAGGACATGTTTAGGAATGTCCTAAATAGAAGGACAATTAAAAAAAAGGGGAGGTTGTCCAGCCTATCAGATCCATACATTAAAATTAGGAGGGAAAAAAAACCACCCAAAACCAAAAAACAAATGACCCCAAAACCAACAAAAATCCCCATCACTCTTGCCTCTGTCCCATCTTAGATCCACAATTATGGGCAAAATTACTAACACATGGGAAATAGCAACTATGATGCATCCACTAGTCATATTAGGGAGAACAATAAACAGATGTAAGAAAAAACATTGCAAATAAGGGAAATAAAAGTTGACTGAGACCAGTTTTTAAAGAACCATATGATTGAGGAATATTTTAAAAATTAGAACTAGACAAGGATTAAAAAGATAATGTTGAAGTCTATTAAAGTCTATTTGAACTACAAAATTATTACTCCCCAGAAGGAATAACATCTTCTATCTACATACAAAAATAGATATACATACATATACTTAATTTATATTTAATTTACATTCATACTGAACTGCAATGAGAACAGACTGAAGGATGTGTTGCCTGCAGACTGAATCAAAAAACCTCAGCAATTTAATTTTAAAATACACAGCGAGGAAAAAAATAACCCCACCCAGCAAACGCAACCAACAGGCAGCAGTCTCTCAAGCAGGGTTGATAATACTCCATTTGTTTCATTCCATTTCACATCCAGAAAAAAACAGATCAAAGAAGATTCCAGACTGCTGATTATTATCTTACTGGCAACTGGAATAATTTGATCCATTTGGCAAAGGTAGATGATGAAAGTTGTAACACTTTCCTCAAACTGCCAAATGCCACAAGAAAATTTGGGCATCTGCCACTAATCTGAAACACTCTGATAGAAGCTGCTAACTGCATCAGTCCACTTACAAGGATTTCTAAATGCTCAAAATGTTTATAATTGAAAGAGGGAAAATGGGCTGATTACTTCAAGCCAAGCTTAATGTTACAAGTCAGAATCAGCAAGGAGTTGGTCACCGTTCCATCTGTCTGAGCAAAGAACATGAGAAAGAAAAAAGAATCTACAACAAACATGCTGCCACAAAAGAGGCCACAAGAAAAAGCATCTACAGAGTCTGGGTCGAAAGCAACTGTGATGAAAATGCCACAGTACACCACTGCACCATCATATTATTTTACAAGTGATGCCTGACTACAGCTACAAAGATGAGAGAGAACAGACCAGTCATGGCTGAGGGAAAAGGGGAAAGTGAGGACACATTCCAAAAGGCATTGCAAATTGAACTGGTCTCCTTGAGATCTTGCAGGAAAACCTCCCTTTGTGATTCTCCTCAGAGCCACCATGGCAAGAGAACCATGGCATGACTTTTATCTGAGGAAGAAAGGACAGTGTTTTATCCAGGTCCTACTGGACCTAGAGTATCTGAATGACACAGGGAGCCTTCCATTCCAGGTAGTAAGTTGTGAGCTGTGGTGGTTAAAAGAAACCAAGGACCTTTGACAGATCAGTTCTGCAGTATTTGGAAGGCACATTTCCCCGACACTGGGCATCATCATCCTGAAGGCAGCTGTTGTCAATAAAGGGTATGACTTGAGTCTTCTATTGTTCTCATTCTAGCAATTGAAATGAGCAGGTAGGTGTTGGCATTCTGCATGGAGACTACACCTTATATTTGATGACATTCAAGAACTGAGTAAGGGGTATAAACACCGCAAAAGAAGCCACCAGTGAGCTAATTGCTTTGCAAGAAAAATCGATGGAATTGGAACCTGCTGGAGAATCTCCAGACTAAAATCCAACTGGGCTGATAAATTATGTTCAACTTATTAAACATAGAGGCTGTCTACACTGTAAGTGGCCCAAAAGGAGAAATACTGTTCTTCCGGCAGGACAGTCTAGCTGGTCTCTCATTTCTTTTTAGTGCCTTCTGCCCTGGAGTGTT